TTCATTTTGTAAGCGAACCCTGGTACATCAAGGCCGGACTTACTTTGCTGAAGCCATTCATTCAGGAAAAAATGTGGAAGAGGGTAAACTTGCGAGATATGGTTTATAAGAATACTGTTAAGTGGACTAATCCTCGGTAGAAAGTCAAACTTAAATCTAACTTCTACGGTATGAAGCGCAAAAAAAAAAAAAAGAAACAAACTTTAGTGGAGTTAACGTCGAGAACGTGGCTTCTTCTTGACGTAGAACTGGACACCAGTCATAATAGAACACCTCCTCATTAACGTATCGTTTTCATTGTTTTCCTCCTCCTTTTGTCTTTTTGTCCCCTGTTGTTTTACGTCAACTGTGTCTTTTACTCCCCAGAAGAACCGTTAATGTGTTAGCTTTAACATTGCAGCTAGAGAGGCTTCATTTAGTTTTTAAAGAAAGGGATATTAAGGATATTGGTAGCGAAGAAGATTGGACCATTTAATGACCTTTAATTTCTTAATTGGTTGGTTTTCTGACTCCTCCTAGATACACTTACATGGTAACAATATGGCGACACTTCACGACCACTGTCATCTGGATACACTACCAGCGGAGTTTGGTGGAAAGATGCCCGCAGTAAACCGCGCATACTGGGCACGAGTACTAGTCCATTTGGAAGGAACGAAAAGAAGTCACGTGTACGGAGAAAATCCATTCAGACGGTCGCTTAGCTGGGACACTGACGAGCAAAAAATACCTCACGTGATCATTCAAAGCTAGGGTCTAATCCCTATCTGTTTGCCTCGTTCAATGACTGACAACACAAGAGTTTGCCAACTGCGTACGTCGCAGTGTTGGGAAACCGGGGGACTAGGTTTGGCGATTGAATGTATAGTTATACAATAACGTTTATTGTATAACTATACTGTGTCACCAATTAGCACCTCACTAGTCAGGAGCTAGATCCCTAACAGACACATAAATAAAGTTTCATCATCATCATCATGTAACTGCTCGGATACTAATGAATTAAAAAAAGATGTTTGGGGTGGCACTAATTACATTTAGATATTGTCAATGAAAAAATTTGAAGTTGTACAAATAAATGAACCATCAGTTCAAAGAAACAGAAGACCCGGGGGTTTAACAGTTAGTGCACTTGACTCTGGGATAAGAGGTCTGGGTACTAGATCCAGCAAGGTCATTGTGTTGTGTTCTTGGGCAAAACACTTGACTCTCACCTAGCCTTACTCCACCCAGGAGCATGGGCACCAGCAGATTGTCAGGGAAGCCTGATGAAATGCTGAGGGTGGGGTGGGAAGAGTAACCTGCAATGAACTAGCATCCCATCCAGGGGTTACTGGGGGAGTTATACTACAGAAACTGGGATAAGCCCCTGCTGGATGGGCCACTTGGCTTTAATGCAGACTTAACCTTTTGTACTTCAGTTGGAAAAGTTAGCCACACAGCAAACTGTCATTGGACTCTCAGAATAAAGTCACCTTTTTTCAAAAGCCAACACAGTTTGAATATTTTCAGTGAACCTTAACCTTTAATAATCCACATCTCATATGCAGAAAGATGTGTCTACTTGTGCTGCAGTTAAAGCATGGGAAAACTGTTGCATTTTAGTAGTTGACTGCTGTGATCTCTTTCATGTCTGGAAAAAGCAGCCATCAACAAGTAAAGTTCTCGCATGTTTGTGTCTTGAGAAGGTAAACTGAACCTTCAAAGGGGTTCACCACCAAAGCAACCTCATGAGTAAAGTAGGACTCATTTTGCATGGACAGTGACACACTCATGAAGCTCATGAATCTAAAAGTGACTAGTACCTAATTTCTGCTTACAATATCACCCCTAATCACACATTAAATGAAACGATCACCAAATTAAAAAATCTTGATCACCAAACAAATTATCCTTGACATCACCTAGGATGCGTATACAGAACAGTATGGAGAATATGCATACTGATGCTAGGGTATAAAGGGTCAAAAGACATGGACAAGTTACTCTCTGACTGGTAGGTTAGGTCTGACATTAAGTCTCTACAAGTATTCAGTGATACATTTGTACGTGATTTCTGCAGTATCCAAAAAAGCATGTTGAAAGTCAAACATATTTTGCTCTCTTTGCTGCAATTTCCCTCTCAGTACCAAACTCATAATATTGAGGTGCAAGAGTGTACAGCCATGATGGGTCAATTTTGGTGACATCTCGCATGTATTCCTTGGATGTCTGAAGTACCTCATGGTATACCACCCACTGTGGTGGAGTTTCTGTGTACAGGACAGATGTTGGGTGGATATAGAGTGGATGATCATCCCGCACTGTGCGATATGACCCTGACGGATGTAAGCGTGCAGCATTAGCAAAGAACCCACTTACAATACATTGACAGATTGGGTCGACATCTCCATCACAAGAGATTATTGGTACTTTAAATTGTAAAAGGAGTTTATTGAACTGTTCCCGGATCTTAATAGCATGGCAAAGTCCTTTGTAGTTCAGAAAGTTCTCGTGACACCATTTAGAGCTTTTCTTGAACTTCACAAAGGCTTCGTAGACATTCAGCAGGGTAATGTGATCTCCTTCATAAACAGAGAACTTTCTCTTGGCATTGTCGGCTGCAGCTTTCTGTTTGCTTGGGCTGACAAAGATATTTTGTATCTGCAGCATGGCAGCAATTGTAAGGATTTCTTCTGAACAACCAAATTCTCCTGATGATAGCAACATTTTGGCTATCATTGGATTTGTAGGGAATTCAGACATGTTTACCCCAAAGGGATCCACTAACTTTCCATGCTGGTCAATGGCTCCTAGAGCATACAACAGTTCCAAGCCACGTATCACACTTTGGGCAGGAGGACGAGCTGGGAAATTGAACCGGAGAATGTTGTCAATACCCATGCATTTCAGCTGTAACATAACAGAAGCCATATTGCATCGTTGCATTTCTGGCACAGTGGACTGTTTAAGACCATCAAAATCTTTTTCTGTGTAGAGTCTATAAACCTTTCCTGACCTAACACGACCAGCCCGGCCAGCACGCTGTTTTGCTGAGGCCTGTGATACAGGCACAACAACTAAGCTTTCAACTCCAACTTTGGGAGAATAAGCTCGTAACTTAACAAACCCACAGTCGATGACGTACACAATTCCATTTATGGTGATGGAGGCCTCAGCAATGTTTGTCGCCACGACAACCTTTCTTGTATTATGAGGAGTTGGCTTGAACACCAGCATCTGCTCTGAATGGGGAAGACCACTGTACATAGGCAGCACTTTAAGATACTGAGAGCCCTTAGCCTGTTCTCTAGCTCTCTCAATCAGCTGTGTAACTACAGTTTCCACTTCGTCTTGGCCTGTGACGAATGCGAGAATATCACCATGGGCTTCCTCTTTGTGGATTCCCATGACAGTGTCCACTGTTGCTTTTAAGTAATCAGGAACGGGGCTGAGAGTGAAATGGATGTCAGTGGGATACGATCGTCCCTTCACTGACAAAATTGCTGCAGTATCCTTGCTGCAATCTTTTGTAATGTTGGTGTTGAAAAAATCTCTGAACATCTCTGCATCAAGTGTAGCAGAGGAAACAATTATCCTTAGATCTTTTCGCTTTTTCTTAATCTTCTTTAACAGCCCTATCATAATGTCAGTGTGTAGTGTTCTCTCGTGAGCTTCATCCAACATGATCACGCTGTACTGTGACAACAAAGGGTCACTCATCGTTTCCCTTAACAACACACCATCGGTCACAAATTTCATGCGAGTTATTTCTGGATTACAACAGTCGTCAAATCGGATTGAATAGCCAACTTCCTCGCCTATGAACGACCCTCTCTCTTGTGCCACTCTTGTTGCCACAGTGACAACAGCCACTCTGCGAGGCTGTGTGACGCACACTTTCCATTTTCCAGCTGTCCAGCCACTCTCGTGAAGGTACTGGGGAATCTGTGTGGATTTTCCGCAGCCTGTTTCCCCAACGATTATAACAGTTTCGTATTTCTCTAAGAGATACAGAATGTTCGTTCTGTGCATGAAAATTGGAAGTCTTTGCCTTTGAAGAGTAATGGATAATGAGCTGTTTGGATTGTAAACAGCTGAAGCTGTAGTGTCGTTATCATTAAGTGGTCTTTCTGTCGCGACATCAACGCCAGGTTTTTCAGCATCTGGCTTCCAAAAACGCGGTTTCCAACTCGCCGAACTGGCCGCCATTTTGTTGAAACGAAACCTATTGCGCACAGTCGTTATGGTACACCGCTAGATCATTTGCATCAGGGCTCATATTCAGTGATCGCGGAAAACCGCGAGGATTCGCGTAGTTAAACTTGAGCTGTCATGAATTGAGTATTTATTCCGTTCACCTTGCAGTTTGGAGGATGGCTCCACCTCGGAAAAGAGTGACTGGCGATCGAAAGAAGAGTAAGTTTGTAGGTGATCTTATTTTTAAACCAGTTTGCCAGATGAAAGTTGCATACTTTCGCTGAAATTCCTGTGAACAAAATGCAGGAAGCTGTGGTATCGTTACGGTTGTATAAATTGTTTTGGGCAGCTGTCTAAAAGTGTAATCTGTCCGACAAACTTAATATATCCTAGATAGATGCAGACTCAATAAAACTTTTGTCCACACTTAAAATTGATATTCCTTTTATAAACGGAGCTAAATCAAACAAGAAAATTCAGAAAAATAATTTTAATCACAGGGGCACATCAGGGTTATTTGATGCATATTATCATGCACACATTTCAACGTTAATGAAATCTATAAATTCTCATATTCTTTAATTCGAAAATGATAAAAGTAGACTATAACACGCTTTATTTAAAGAGCCAAGTACAGTTCATAGTGTGATGAAACAAACGATTCATAACGGTCTTTTTTTGCATCTTTAATTTTTGAATTCACACGCATACGTGGCTATAATAAGGCAGGTGTATTTGTCAAATTCCCAAATGGTGATTAATTATTCATTGCTTCTTAGCTGACACAATGGGTGAAAATATTAACTTTTTCCTTTATTTTCATACAACAAGATGTGATTATTTTCTTAAGAATTATAATCTGTAATCCTCATCCAGCTTTTGATGTTTTCTATTTTCATTATTTTTTTTTCACTGTGATTGTCTTAATGAACGTTATCATTGCAAAACTTACCTTCATGACAAACCAGATTCCTTTCATTTTAACCCTTTGACTACCATGATTGAGCAAGACAGAATTTCTCCTTACAGTATCAGTACGATATCAAGCAGACAAGGTGACGAGAAAGTAGAAAATTATCAAATAGGAGATAATTAGTTAATCCAAAACCAAATTCTCCCAACTAATATTATAATAATTAAGAGTGATTGAGTTTGTTTCTTGCGATCGAAAGCAGTTTGAAAGCATTTATGATGTGAACATCAACAAAGAGCTCTGTTTAATTAGTTAGTTCATACTTTTTTACACCTCATTAGCCATGCAATGATTTAACAATAGTGAACGTTACACCTACTTGCACAGGCACAACGTTAATTTCAGTTCATAAATAAATACACATCCAGAAAGTCCTTTTAAAGACCTGCAAAAATAACATGTGATCAGTCCGTAATACATTCCCTAGCCCTAACCCCAAACCTAGCCCTAATCTTAACTCCAACCAGTAAAATGAACATTTGCTAAAATGTGGACACCTTGAAAACACAACTTTAGGTTATAAAGAGTACATTTTACATGTAAAACATCAAATAAATAAGAATGAGCTGTCCGCTTAAAAATTTTAAACCAGTTTGAAAATTCTAAACCAGTTTAAAAAAAATTAAACCAAAGGTAAAATTTGAACCACAACATATACATACTGATGTTAGGGTGTAATGGGTCACAAATAACTGTCTTATCTTTGTATCCTAGATGTTAATAATTCTACCACGAATGAAACAACAAAGACATCAAGTGAGTCATCAAATTTTTCTACAGTCAAGTGGATTGCTTTTGTAAGCATCATCTTCGTCTTGGTATTACTTGTTGCGGTGTATATATTTAGAACAAATCAAGGGGATTCAAATTTAAATCAGAACTCAAGGCAAATTTTTGAAACAGAGAAAGGATCATTTGAGAAGACGGAAAAGAAAAATAAGAAAACAAAACCATCAGATTCAAAGGCAGCCATAACGAACAGCTATGATAAATCCATCACCAAAGAGTTAGACAAGGCGCAGAGTATTTTAGACAAGGATCAGATCGCAGATGCCTTACAAAGGTTTGAAGCTCTGACTAAGAAATATCCAAAGAGTCCAAGGGCTATGTATGGGAAAGCACAGTCCTTAGATAAACTTGCAGAACAAAGGCAAAGTAATAATATTCTTCTAGAAAGCATAGAAACTTATCGGAAAGCAGCAGACACGCCGAACTGCCCCACGGAACTGAAACGCAGAGCAGTGCGACGTCAGGCTGAAAGGCTCAGTTTCCTAGGCAGGTCTGGTCAAGCGGCAAATGTTTTAAGGAGACTGTTGGATGAGTTACCAGGTGATATCGAGGTCATGAATGAATTGGGCGTGCAGTATTTGATGACAGGAAAGAACAGGGATGCAGAGAATATCTATAACCAGGTAAGTTTGGGACTTAGGAGTGTTTTTGGATGAAGATGTCTTAAAATCTCTAATAAGAATCTCTTAACCTAGTCAGTGTCATAATATCATACATTATTATCCAACCATGCTTGGCAGAGTACAAATGATGTGAGTAATGAGTACAAATATCACGTAATATTTGTCAGGGCTCAACATTAACGGTAGCCCACTAGCCACAGACTAGTAGAAATTTAGTTTTGGCTTGTGTTTTTCAATTTTCAATAGCCAGTCTGGTAAGTAAACAAACTGAAATTGTCATATCATCTAAAAACATCTAAGATGTCACTAACCACTTGGCTAGTAAGTTGAAAAATTAGTGTCAAGCCCTGTTTGTATTTCAGAAATATTCACAAAATTCACCCATACTGAAATAACAATTTGACATGTTGAATAATAAATCCCTTATTGGGTGTTTTGTTGTGTAGTATCACTGAGTATTTTTACTTGTTGTTTGTATTTTGACTTCCCCTACTTGCTCATCAAAAAACAGCGCAACTTGTAAAAATACTCAACAATGCTACACAGCAAAACATCTAATAATAGTACTAATGGATAAACTGGTAATTGTAATCTAAATTGGTTCCTGGAGCATACCTCTCCTTCAATCCTTTACTTCCAAGATCTCACTAGTAATTCTGCTTATTATCTGCCATACAATTCTTATGATGTTAGTTCAGAGAATTTGGTATTGGATCAACTGATACTCTTTTTTTTAATGTTTTCTTTATTCTCATTACTTGTCTGCTTAGTATTTATATTCATTTGATATTGTAAGGAGAAATTCTGTCTTGGTCACCCTGGGAAGTTAAAGGGTTAGGCAAGTTATTGCCAAGATTAGGGAATTTGTCAGCCTGTTTGACTAACAGTTTTTGATGAAAAGTTTGCTTTTTTTTTTCTTTCTCAGGTGATAAACATGGACCCAAGAAATGGTTTTGCCCAGTCACACTTGGGTTTTATTCTCAAAACTGATCACTTGCGGTATATTGAAGCTATTCCTCTGCTGCGTAATGGAATCTCAAGCGGTGATGCTGGTGCTGATGATGGCAGATTTTATTTTCATCTTGGAGATGCTTTTACTTGAATTGGAAAACCAGATGAGGTGAGAAACCTTGTCTACGCAAGCACTTGGACATGCTGTTCTACATAAAATACATTATTTAAGTTTTGTATAAAAAATTTAGTTCTCATTTTCCAGACTACTTAAGATATTTTGTTCAGTACAAAATATTTATTTGTTTTTCCTTAGAATTTTCTTTCTTTTTTCTTGCCAACTAGTGGAGCATGCATTGTCTCTTGCAGTCCAAAATATGTAAAGAAACATGATATTGATTGACTTCTCTTACACAGGCTTACAAAGTATATGAGGAGGCTGCAGGAAAAGGAATATTCCTGTCTGCTTTGCAACGTTCCTTGTACAATGCAGATACACCCCTGACTGCACGACCTTGGTGGACACCAGAGGAAACTGGATATGAGAGAGCCATTCGGTACAGATACTTAACCCTGTAACTTCCATGATCTGATTGTTAATTCTCCCCTCTAGCAATTTTCCTTGTAAATTAGTTACAAGAATTTGGAGTTAGTTCAATATGACAAGTTCTACCTTATAAGCTTGAGTATTCTCATTAGTTTTTCTATGGATAAAGTATGGATATTATTTAGTTCTTATTAACCAAGCAGGCGGTCTGTATGGGAGAATCTTGACTGAGGTCGCCAGTACAGACCGAACATAGTGAGGTCTGCACCAGCGACCGAGGTCAAGATTCTCCCAAACAGACCGACCTAGCTCGCTTAATAAGATGTTTATTATATGGCTGTCTTATATGCCAATTTTTTATATTCTTTGTACCTTTTTTTTCTGGACTGGTCTAGATCCCAGTCTAGATGGGAAAATCTAGACCGCTTTCAATATTGATTTCAGCCAATCAAATTCGTGAATTCGGTAGTTCCCAGTCCTTGTGAGACACAGCCATATAATAAAAGGAGAAATTACATGTTGATCAATTCTGAGTGAAAGGGTCAATTTAGAATCTTGATGGGCAGTTTGCTTGGTGATGAACATTACTCTGTGGTTGGACATAACAGGACATTTTGTCCAGGCAGAAAATTATTAGATACCCGTAAGAATTTTCAAGGAAACACATTAAGTATCACACTTCTATTTTCTGATTAATGGCTCACACCTAAAAATTCAGGTTTTCAAGAACAACTGAGGTTATGATAACCTGCCTTTGCTGAGTTGTAGTTAATAATTAGCAAGTTCTATCTTCTTTAAGGAAACTGGAAGCTAACTGGGAAGTCATCAAAGATGAAGGAATTTCATTGCTTGACAAAAAGTCAGGAGGGTTTATACCAGAAGAAGAAAATCTCAGAGAACAAGGAGACTGGAAACAATTCACTCTGTACCAGCGTGGCCGAAAGAATGCAGCAGCTTGTCAAAAAACGCCACAGACTTGTGCTATCATTGATACCATCAAAGATGCCACCAGCTGTAAGAGAGGACAGGTATGTTTGAGGCAAGCAGGTGGTGGGGGCCAAGGGACAGTCATGAGACCTAGTCACAATTTGAATCTTAATTTCTCTGGAAAATAAAGCAAAACTTTTGTGGAAAAGTCGTGAATTTTGCACACCCCAATGTGTACAAAGTGGGGAAATGGCTTTATTTTGCCATCAGAAGTGTGTGATCATCAATTTTTGTTGAAGATAAGTTTATTAACAAATCATACTTCCTGGTTTTTTGTTATACAGATCAAGTATTCCGTGATGCTTCCTGGCACCCATGTTTGGCCGCACACTGGCCCCACAAACTGCAGACTGCGCCTTCATCTTGGACTTGTTATTCCCAATAATGTAGCTATTAGAGTTGGACGGGAAACAAGGTGATAATGATGACAATTGGTTGTATTTGCCCACTCATTTGAGCTGGCTGGCTAACTGACTGAATGATTGAAAGACAGACTGACTGACTGGCTGACTGAATTATTTACTGATTGACTGACTGACTGACTGATTGGCTAACTGACTGATTGACTTACTGATTGACTAACCAACTGACTGACTGACTGAATGAATGACTGAATGACTGTATTACACAGTGACTGACTGACTAATTGATTCACAGATTGAGTGAATGATATATAATAACTGACCAGGAGAAATGAGTGATGTACTGATGGAGAATGCACTTTCTCATATTTCTCTGTCTTGTTCTTACAGAACTTGGGAAGAAGGCAAAGCATTAATCATCGATGACTCGTTTGACCACGAAGTTTGGCACAATGGTTCAACTTTCCGACTTATTCTTATTGTAGACTTTTGGCATCCTGACTTAACACCTCGACAAAGAAATTCATTATCACCCATTTGAACACCACTCTTAATTGTTCTAAACCCTTTACCTCCCACAAGTGACCAAGACAGAATTTCTCCATAAAATATCAAGGGATGAGAATATAGAAAAAAAAATCAAGTAGGGGATTATGAGTTGATTCAATTCTAACTTCTCCAAAACTAATATCATAAGAATTGTGTAACAAACAGTAATGAGAATTAGTAATGAGACCTTGAGAGCGAGGGGGTTAAATGCTAAACGTGTTACATCTCCCAACAGTGTTGATTCATTATCTTCCCTGTTTCATGCATTCAGTTAGTAAAATGGTGGTAGTACACAGTGTTATGCCTTGAACTCTCACGAGTGACCAAGACAGAATTTTCTATAACCGCAGTTCATAATATATGAACTTCATACATTCATCATATCTAATTTATAATCACGGGTTTATTACGAATCAACTTAACGGCTTGCTCCCAGTTGGCTTTTTAGCTCAATTGGTAGAGCGCTGCACTAGTATTGCAGAGGACAGTGTCGAATCCTGTACAGGCCTGATTTTTTTCAGGTCTGATTTTCGCTATTGCATAAATAGCGCTCTCTACTGCGAGGATCATGCATCATACAGAATTTCTCTTTACAATATCAATACAAAATCAAACTGACAAGTGAAAAGAAAAAAATAAAGATATCAGTTAGGGGAATTCTTACTTGATCCAATACCACATTCTCTGGCTAACATCATAAGAATTGTATGGCAGACAGTAAAGATAATTACAAATGAGATCTTGGAAGTGAAAGTGTTACAATGTTGGACGAGGAAAATAAAAATAGGAAGATTTGGGTCAGGTCATGTACAGTTCTTTAGCCAGCCCAACCCAAACTTTGACTTTTTCACTCCTCTGCCACTATTACACCATTAAATATTTTGCTCCATTTTACTCACTTAAGGCTTGAAAAAGTCTATTCATTATTTGGCCTGATGATGGAGAAGCACAAAAAACTCAATCAAAAGGAGATTGATTTATTGATTCTGCCTTACCTATTGTGCTACGTTTACAGCACTTGCTACTTATTGAATTTCTCATATTTTAACTCATTGTAGATCAAGTACTGGTATATAAAATTTTCAGTTTTTAGAAAGCTATACTGGGCAAGCTTATGAAAACTCACCTAGTAGGAAGAAAGTTGGAAGTCTTCCATCATATATCAGTTTTGTCAAAGATTAATATAATTTAGCATGATCTTAGCTAGATGTAATATATTTTGCATGTGTATTGTTCATATTGGCAGAAACTTTTTAAAGGCCAAGCTTTAATCTGTAAAGGATGCCTGACCACTAACAAATCACAACAAACCCAGACTCAGCTTCAACAGTTGCATGACATAGGACATTTTAGAGAAAATTTAAGAATTTTAGAATCAACTTTACTAAGCTTTGCTATTAAAAGCCATTTTTATGAAACATTTTCCATGAAAAATGAATTTTTTAGTAATCACACTGATGTAATTGAACAGATTTCACATGTTTAGTGAATTGGAAATTTCCATGACTTTCCAAAACCATCTAGAGGACCGTATTGCATCTCCCAGTTAGCATGCACTTTACAATTGATTAATTTAGGCCTTATTTCACTGGACGGCCCACCAAATTTAAAAGTTTGTTTAACCCTTAACTCCCGAAGTGATTAACATGTAACCTCTACTTGTAATACCCAAACATCATCCAGCAAACATATAGTGAGAATACTCAAACTTATCAGGTAGAAGTTGTTACCTAGCCTGCAGTGCAGGCAGTTTTGGTGGTTTTCATCTTTTGACTGTTTAGCCGCCATGTTGGATTCGCCGCAGACCGGGAGAATTTGGGCGAGAATGCCAGAGTGGGTGGGGGGATTTTTCTTTCCCCTCCCCCTCCCCCAATTTTTCTCTCTCCCTCCCCCCAACTCTCCACTATTTTTCTAATTCACGATGGCGGCCTGAACAACCGATGGGAATATCCACTCACCCCACCAAAATCCGCCTGCACAGCAGGCTAGTTGTTACCTTGATAGAACACCAAATTCTTGTCACCGATTTTCAAGGAAATATGATACAGCTAGAGGGGAGAATTAACAATCAGCAGATCTTGGGAGTTAAACAGTTCATTGATTTGCAGAAGGCTTTCAATACCATAAACCACTCGGTGCTATACTCAGTTGTTGAAGGAGGAGTTTATTGCACACTGTGTGATCCTTGTTACTTAAGTAAAAAAGATAGCGGGTATTTTTACAGCATTTATGACAGTTATCTGCTACACAGCAACACGGTGATCATAACAATCACAGATTGTTTGAAAATTCTTGGAAAAAATTCCATGCTAGTGGTACTTATTTCAGGTCCCTTAACAAACTGCACAACACTTTCTGTCACACACACAAACCTACTGTGAATTCCTGGGGCATTTTCATTGTTCAACACTGACAGTTCTGAACATACAGAAAATGGAAGCCTTACTGCCAAGCTCGTTTCTAACGATAACATCAAAATAAAGCTGAATTCAAAGACAGTCTACATTTTTTCAATAGCACTCCTTAACTAATTTGTCCTTGTGTACTGGTCATCTTTTTCAATACAAAACTCACCTTGATATTTGCTGTTGATTTTTGCTATCAAATTTGCAACTAGGTAAAAACATTGTAAAAAGTAATTTCCTGGTTAAAATCCTGACGGTGAACTTTCCAGGCTCCTGTACAACCAGTGTTGTGCACCTACTTGTCACTTTCAAATTACAACACAGCTGCACCACAACCCGCACGGCAAATGTTCATGTCCTGTACAAAACGCCAAGTGTCTGTTTCTGGATCGTACACTTCAACACTGGACAGTCTGTGAGCACCATCAAATCCACCTAACACAAAAATCTTATTGTCATACACTGCTACTGATGGCCACGCCCTTGGTGTGTTCAATGGAGCAACTGGCTGCCATTGATGGGTCTGCGTGTTGTACCTTTCTGCAAGATCAAAGTAATGATCCGTGCTTCTGTTTCGACCTCCCAATGCATATAAGTAGTTGTTGAGAGCCACTAATGACATGCCAGAGCGTGCTTTTTCGAGTTCTGTTACAAATGTCCATGTGTCTGTATCAGGGTCATAGCATTCAACACTTGCTCTATCACTGTGAACACCTCGATCATAACCTCCAGCAATGTACAGCTTCCCTGTGAAATGAAAAGAAATGTCAACCTCTTTACTCCCCTAAGTGACCAAGAAGGATTCAAATTTATTCCTACAATATCAATACAGTGTCAAGCAGACAAGTGATGAGAACAAAGAAGAATATCAATAAGGGGATTATTAGTTGATTCAATACTAAATTCTCCAAACTAACATCAAAAGAATTGTATAGCAGACAGTACAGAGAATTACGAAATGAGATCTTAATGAGTTTGTACACGCGTCCTCTAACAAAGAATGCACAAAACTCCTGATAATGATCAGACTTAGGTGCATGCATAAGCAGGTCTCGGAAACCAACTAAAGCCACAGGAATGTATCACTCCCCAATCCCAAAGGTAAACTAGTTCATGGTAAGTAAATCTCAGGTTTTTGAGAAGTTCTGCCCAAAATTTTAAGATCTTTGGAGTGAAAATGTTAAGTAATTATCTTGAGGTAAAATGATTCCATGATAACAGGATTCTTGAGGAAGCATGAAAGTCTGTTTCAAGCTGATGAAATCTACCTTCAAAATAACAAAATTGGATTTGTATGCCACCAGTTTGAATGTTACCTCACAACCTGGCCACGTGTTCTTAAGAAAAACAGCACACTATAAAAGATTACTCTTTCTGGTTTCAAATCTTGGCAATCTGTTTGAAACGTTGGAGCTGCTTCATTGACTCCAGTAATGATTCTTGTCATTTATCCCTTACACTGCCAAGATCTCATTAGTAATTCTCTTTACTGTCTGCTATACAATTCTTAAGATGTTAATTCAGAGAATTTGGTACTGGATCAACTTATAATCCTTTAATTGGTAGTTTTCTTTGTTCTCATAATTTATTTCCTTGATATTGTAAGGAGAAATTCTGTCTTGATCATTCCTGGGAGTAAAAAGGGTTAAAGACAAACTCTGTGATTTAATGTGTGTGTTCCCAGGGTTTCAGACAAACTCTGTGATGTAATGTGTGTGTTGCTAGGTTACCAGGTTATTTTAAAAAATGGCAGCCTTCAAAAATTAACTTCCCTGAAAATTTGAAAACAAATTATTGAAAGGTTATGTAACACCTTGGAATCTCAGAAAGTGGTAAGAGGAGAATTTTGTTAACGAAAACGGCACCAGCCTATGAAGCTTTGACTATTAAACAACTGTCCTTGTAAATACCAAAGAAAATGTATATAGGAGAGTTAAGATGTACACTAACCATCACAAACAGCAACTCCTGCACCAGATCTCTTCCTTCGCATACACTGAACTGTACTCCAGTGATCTGTTTTTGGGTCATATCGTTCTACATAGTTATAACTGCATGTTCTGTCTTCACCTCCCAGAGCATAAACATAACCATTCAATGCCGTCACTGCAATAAATGACCTCTGAATGGCAATGTCAGCAAGTGAAATCCACTGATTCACTGCCGGATCATAGCATTCTGCATGTCGCACATACATAGTGTCATCATGAGGAGCACTAACGGCACACTCACCCCCTACCACATAAAGAATTCCGTTCAGGCTACAAGCCCCAACTGCAGTTCTTGGATATTTCATGTTCTGCAGCATGATCCATTGGTTTGTCAATGTATCATATCTCTCTAAACTTGAAAGCTGACAATCAATACCATTTCGTCCGCCTATTACATACACGGCTTGCGGTTGAGCTCGAGGTAGTGTCATGTAACGAGGCAAATTACGAGCGCTCTCGTTTAGAACTTTGGCCAATAAGAGCTGACAATCCGCATTGTTCTTGATAATTTTTGATGGAAACACTCGGGCTTCGAGAAATTCGAGACTTAGCAAAGGAAGCCTAACGTGACTTAAGAGCTCCACAGCATAATCCTTCCGTCGACAGAAATCGTGTAAAATCCACGCCTCCACTGCCTCAAACACTTGATTCTCAGAACGAACCTGAAGTAGGTCTTCGCGAAGAAGATTCCTCAAGGCTTGTTTTGGCATTTGTAAAAATTCTTCACCTTTCGCTACATCCAGGAAGTGTTGACGTACAAATCGATAAGCAGCTTCTTCAAGTTCTGAACACGAATAGAGATCTGCAAATGCTCGGATACCGAGACAGTTCGTAGCATCTAGGTGTGTCTGAAGAAAACCACAACAAACTGTTCTCAGGCTCTGCAGGTTTAACAACGAAGCGGCAGATAAAAGCGCCTGTACGTTCTCCACACTGATATCGATGGCTCCTGTATAAGCAAAATCGAGTAATCCCTCCATTACACTCGCTTCAACGCCTTGTAGTTTAATGTCTTTCATGCCACTTTCCAACATACCATTTGTAAACATGGCTCGTAAGTAAGAACTGGCTCCAGCGAGAACAATTCTGTGCGCGGGAAATTGTCGACCGTCGACATGGAGAACTACGTCGCATAGTTCACCTTTTCTTCGCAGATCGTTCATAGTTTTCAATGCATCGTTGGAATGCAGAGGGATATTGAACCGTCGATGCGCCGCCATGGCGTGGTTCTACAGATTCTCAACTTTCCTGTAAGATCTCACGTCTAGAACATCACTTCATTTTCGTTGTTTTCCTCGACTCACCTTTCGTAATGTCCAAAATAAGGGGACATCTGATTGGCTAGTTCGCGTAATGGGCCAAAATAAAAGCGTAATTGATTGGTTCGTAATCAACATGATTATACCTTACCGCTGTACTAACATTAGCATCGTGGACTCAAGTGTTGAAACAAGTCTCGTTAATATTGAACAATTATTCGCCGAAGGCGAGGTGAATATCGTCCAATAATCCCCAAGACGAAGTCGAGGGGATAATTCGACAATATTCACTGAACCTGAGGCGAATAATTGTTTTAGTATAATTTCAGAGCTGAACAACAGAGAAATTTTTAAAATCATAATATTTTAGTAACATTTATTAACATTTTAGTTTAACATTTTTTAGTATATACTAAAACAGTGGATAGCGTTGAAGGCGCGCTCTGATTGGCTAGTCAAACTCCGAATATCCTTTGCTATTTATCTCCGAGCAACTTGGGAAAAAATGGCGTGCCGGTTTGCATCCGTGACAAGCGAAGAAATCACTCAAATAACGACGAAGCAGTCCCTGAAAACAAAGAAAGCGACTAAATTTGGTTTGGCCGTGTTTAAAGGTAATGGTAACCGGGAGTTTATCGATAAACACCAATGAAAAAGGTTTTGTTTACAAATGCAAATTAATCTTGCGTAACCTCACTTGTTCACTTGAAAATCAAAGTT